AACACTCATCACAGAACAGAGCAAGGCGAGCATTTGTGCTTATAAAAGATAACCTTTTTTGTTTATTTTTTAAATGACCGATCATTTCGCTTGATAAGACCCTTATTCATCGTCTGGAATCATTTAAAGCTCTTTAAAGCTGCATTGAAACTCTCATTTGGACCGTGAACCGTTTGGTTCCCATTGAAGTCCATTACATGGAGAAAATCCTGGAATGTTTTCATCGAAAACCTTAATTTCTTTTCGACTGAAGAAAGAAAGACATGGACATCTTGGATGACATGGGGGTGAGTAAATTATCAGCAAAAGTTTTTTTAAAAGTGAACTACTCCTTTATTTCAACGAGTTAAAGCAATGTAAAAACACATTGATCATATTTTATTGCTCATATAAAAATAAAAACGTCATTCCACCAATCATCCAGTAAATGACATTAATATTCGACTGATATCGTTCCACTGAGAACAGTACGAGTGGGAACAGTAGTAACTGCCGACTCGTCCGGTAAACTCTGTGACATCAAGATAATAAGATCTCATAGGAAGACAGAAAGCAGAACTACATCAAGGCTCAGGAATGTTTTCCCCCCGAGGTGCCTAAAATGAAAAGACGACGGACCCGGTCAAGCTCAGTGTGTGTGACGTGAGGACCGAGGCGGATTACACATCTGTCTTCAGAGGGCAGGTGTCAACGGCTTTTTAACGCTCCTGTCAGAGAGGATTGTGGGAAGAATGGACGGTACCTCGACTGAGCATTACGCGAGCAGTGCCGTGTCGAAAACAAGAAGTGTCTACTTCACAGCGTCAACAGCAGTTACATTTAAATAACGTGCAATCAGTCACCTGCAGCTGTTTACCGGTGTAGGCGTACAACGCCCATTTGCATTGTCGTGGGATCGGTTCAGTTGTTGAGACTGGGATTGCGGATGGGGGGAGGTCGAGTGAAACAATGCAAAAAGCAGCTGCAAGACTTTCCATATGGAAATTAGGACACCAGCAACTCGTAGCAGAATGATGATGGCGAACTTTGAAGTCAATATAACATTTCACTCACTGACAACTTCTATGAACACTTACGCTAGGATAGAGTATCCGATGAACCGGAGCGGGCTGCAATAAAGATTAAGCGACAATTACACTATAATAGCTTCTTGAGGAGAGACGAACATCTCTCTCTTTGACAGGAACATGGGTAGATCTAACTAATGACTAACCACTGAAAGCTCTTGCCAACTCTATCTAGAGTGTAAACAGATCAATTTAGTGCCGAGGTGCTCAGCGTAGAGTCCCTGCAATGAACTTTCACATACTAAACTATTGTTCGCAAGCATGTAAACATAATACCTTCTGTGTCAACACAGTCGGATATTTATAGACACTTCATCCTGGAGGTCCTCTTTCCATTTGTCACTTGTATTGAGCACAACAAGCCAGCAAAAGCTCTGTAAGTTTGTTTTGTACTAATTCTTTCAACATTACATTTAAAGGGATAATTCACTTTGAAATTAATTTTTGGTATGTTTTAGCTTACCTCAAGGGCATCCAAGATGTAGGTGTCTTTGTTTCCGCAGTATTTTCAATTTTGATATTTTTAGGTCAAACCGTTCGTGTCTGTCAGTCATATAATGGAGGTCTATGGTCACCACCTCAAAGAGCATGCACAGAGAAGTCCAAATTAAACGTGATTTAATGACTCGTAAATGTAAGTACACATTGATGGCCTGAGACACGAAACGAGCGGTTTGTGTGAGAAAACGGACAGTATTTATATAGTTTTTACCTCTTTTGACCACAGTCACGTGCTTCTGTCTGGGCAAGCGCCGGAAGTGATCTCTCGCACGTTTTCGGAAGACAATTTCGATACATTAACAGACAAAGTTGATTTTTTTTACGCAACCGCACAGGAGATCACTTCCGGCGCTTGAGCAGAACGAAGGACCCGTGCCTTCAGAGTACTTGGACGTGATTACAAGAGGTAAAAACGATATAAATACTGTTCGTTTTCTCACACAAACCGCTCGTTTTGTGTCTTAGGCCATCAATGTGTACTTACATTTATGAGTCATTAAATCATGTTTATATTGGACATCTCTGTGCATGCTCTTTGAAGTGGTGACCATAGACCTCCATTATATGACTGACAGACAAGAACGGTTTGACCTAAAAAGATCAAAATTTAAAATACTGTGGAAACAAAGACACCTACATCTTGGATGCCCTTGAGGTAAGCTAAAACATACCAAAAATTTATTTCAAAGTGAATTATCCCTTAAACAGATTACTGCCACAATGTAGGGCAAGACTTGGTTAGTTGTTGATTGGATGGAGGTAGATCTGAAAGCAAGCTTATCATTTGTGGAGGGGTGGGGTCTAAGTAGACTAAATGATTGGAGAAGTCCTGCACACATCACCAGAAAGACGTCTGTCCTTTCACTGGAAGTTATGATGATTTTTCTATTTTGGCTTCCAAAGATTATCAAAACTAGACAATAGACGTAAAACGGTATTGTGCCACTCCCGAAATCCATCCAACACACCTTCTTTTCCTTCATAGCATTGCGCTTTTGTTCCTTCCTAAGCCAAACTTAACATCCAAAGCAGCCGAATCAGTGAGGGACGTGCCTGCTAAACTGCGGGATGTGCCTGGTATTAAACAGTATCATCGGAAGAGCATTAAGCCACGAAAGAGATACTGTTCCCTAGGCGGCTCTCTGCGTGTGTGTGCACTCCGAGATCATAGACTGTAAAAACCAAAAAGCTGAACGCGCTTAAGCAAAAGTATATAACTGTGGGCTTCAGATACTCGTCTAAATGGCCAAATAGCCAACACAAACGTTTTCTCATAAACACAGTCGGTTATGTCTTAAGTGAGAGAGAAAACACGTGCAACAGTATATCGGTAGCCTGGGAAAACCCAGACAACTTCCGGCAAATTTCGATTTGCTCTGAAAGTTAGTCTGGCAAAGAGCTCATTCAAGCCCATTTCCAATCCGTTGAAATCGAGGCACCAATCAGAATCGTAGGGGCGGGCTTAACACGATGATGACAGCACTGGGATTTTGTAGCCTAGATTACAATCGATGTTGCTGACAAACATCACTCGTTCGAATCAGCTATCGCGTCTGTTTAAGCGATTTGAACGTTTCCTTTTTGTTAAAAACTGAGCCAAGAACAACACTCGGAGATGTCCGTTGGTGACACCCCTCTGGAAATGATTTGTCTATGCTTTGGCAGACCATAACTCAGTTACAACTGAGAATGGTCTGGTTGATCTGTGCAGCTCTAAAAGTGACAGCAGCCTAATAAACCTTCTGCAGTCATTATCGTTAATCAAACTATAAAAGACGATAAAATCACTCACTGCTTTTGAATGAATAAACTGTCGTTTTAATAATGATTAGTCTATATTTAATCTATACATGTACAAATACAGTATATAAAAGAACAAAATGGCTTTGCCATTTAATGCAAGTATGGTTATACGCAGTGTTGTAGTCGAGACCACCTCACTCGAGTCCGAGTCGACACCGAGACCAGAGAGAGTCGAGTCCAAGTCAAGACCGAGTCCATAGAGAGTCGAGTCCGAGTCGAGTCCGAGACCAGAGACGGTCGAGTCCGAGTCGAGACCAAGACCAGTGAGGGTTGATTACCTAATTTACTTTTATTTACTTCGAGAAATCCTTTTTTTTTTTTTTTTTTACTGAATTTACTTAGAGTTTAAAAAATATGATCAGTTTTGGGTAAAAAAGGCCAAATAGTAGGTGGTGTTAAAAGTAATTTTATTACAATTTGTCATGCGCAGTTGCGCACTAGAAAATCACCAATCACTGGGCGTGTCAATCAATTTAAAGAAATATTTTATTAACATACATTAATAATCATGAAAAATATTTTTAATTGAACTCGGGAATAATTCCGAGTCCTTAAAAAAAAAATGTTCGAGTACGAGTCAATTCCGAGTCCAAATGGACACGAGTCCATGACAAGACCAAGACCATTAAAATATGGTCTCGAGACCGAGTCTCGAGTACTACAACACTGGTTATATGGTAACGGTATACAGTAATGTGGTAACACTGATTTTAATAGTGTGACAATTCAACAGATGTATAGTTGAAAATCAGGTTGATTACTAGACTGAATACTAGATTTTTCTGTAATAATAATCAAAACGTTACATTATAAAACTTTGTATTATTTATTTCGTTACATTTTCACATCCAAAATAAAAGTTTGTGTTTACATAATATATGTGTGTGTGTACTGTGTATAGTTGTTTTGTATATATATAAATATACACACATGCATACATATTTAAGAAAAAAATATTATTTATATATAAAATATTTATATTTATATATAATAAAAATTATATTCAAATCTATATACAGTAGGCTATATACATGGAAATATCTCTTAAATATATACAAGCATGTGTGTGTATTTATATATATAAAATAATTATTCACAGTACACACACATATATTATGTAAACACAAACTTTTATTTTGGATGCGATTAATCGTTTGACAGCCCTTTGATGCATTGAATGATCAGCATTGAAACATACATTTTGCCAGAAAAATTAAATCCTCTTTTAACAGATTTATCCAAGACAATTCACAACTTTTGCAGTGCTGTATCCTGTGCCATCTCAGTACTCACACATTTGTGAAACACAGTATGAGAAAAGTTCAATTGCGATGACTGAAGCTGCATTAGTGCAAGAGCAGAAGCACTCATTTGGTCATAAAAGTGTATTTTACCACACCGGGCTATTTAATGAAGGGTCCAACACATGTTTAAGCTTAACTCAGATCAAGACAAGAGTTCAAGCCAAGCACACACAATGTTTAATGTACTCTCAATGTGTATCAGTGCAACAGCAGCATAACAACAACAAAGCAAAAGGCAGGCGTGTGTTACAAACTAAACGGCTCACATTGGCTATGGTGAACATCGGTGTGAAATGCACAATTTCTTTTCAGAAAATAAACTTACCAACTGAAACGTGCAGAGAAATATCAGGGTGCACCGTCCGCTGCAGCAGCCCATTGTGTAGTTAAAGCGAGATAATGGGATCCTGAATATATGAGTCTATGAGCAGAAAGTCCTAAACAAACACAGAGAAGCGCGTCTGTCTCTGTCCGACACAAAGCGGCTCCGTTTCCATTGTTTCCTGCGGCGCTCAGTGAAACGCGCGTGGAGGTGTGAAAGCGCGTCGCGTCCCGGGAGGAGTGTGTGTGACTCGGGTGTGAGTGAGTGAAGTGCGAAGAAAGAGGCAGCAGCAGAAGAAGAACAAGGGGTAGACCGGGTAGAGGGGCGGGGGAGCAGGCAGAGGGGGTGTATGTAAATCACAATGGATATGGGAGGCCATAGTATGGCTTGATCTCTCTCTCTCTCTCTCTCTCTCTCTCTCTCTCTCTCTCTCTCTCTCTCTCTCTCTCTCTCTCCCTTACACACACACAGCCTGTGAGTGCTGTAGTTTTGAAACCTAAAAATGTATAGGAACCATAAAACCTTAAACTAAACAAGAGCTGGTGCCGGCACTGTTGGGTGCCACCGCCACGGTTGCCAGCTGATATCCCTGCGCGCCTGATCAGCTCAAAAGTGCCCAAACCCCTCTGAAACCAACATACCCGGTTGAGAGACCAGTAAACAAGCTTAACCCTAAATAACCATATATGAAGAGTTCAGATGCAAAAGCCTCTAAGTGCCATTTGAAATTTTCTTCTAGAATGATAATTTTTATCAAGCTTGTATATTTAATTTCAGTGATTTCACTTAAATGGCAATGTTACCTATTAATTGTTACTTAAGTGAAATTACTGAACTTACATATACAAGTTTGATAAAAATCATCATTAAAGAAGAAAATTTCAAATGGCATTTAGAGGCTTTTGCATCTGAACTCTTCATATGGAGACCACGTCCTTGCTAAAAAGAAAGAAAGAATAAACCAACCACAGTCTTTTAGCTGGCTTTGCTCCTTAGGGGTCACCTATCTGCTCCTCAAAAGTAGGCCTATATTTTTGCTCAATCGAGATATAAAGTCAGAATTGCAAGATATAAAGTCAGAATTGTGAGATATAAAGTCGCAATTGTGAGATATAAAGTCAGAATTGCGAGATATAAAGTCTCAATTGTGAGATATAAAGTCAGAATTGCGAGATATAAAGTCAGAATTGCGAGATATAAAGTCTCAATTGTGAGATATAAAGTCAGAATTGCGAGATATAAAGTCGCAATTGCGAGATAAGTCGCAAAAAATTGCGAGTTTCACAATTCTGAGAAAAGACGTCAGAATTTCGGCATATAAACCCGCAATTATGTGTTATAAAGTCAATTGCAAGCTGTAAACTCGCAATTGTGAGATAAAAAGTCGCACTTCTGTCTTTTTTTCTCAGAATTGCGACTTTATCACCCAATCTGACTTTATATCACGCAATTATGATTTTATATCTTGCAATTGCGACTTTATATCACACAGTTCTGACTTTTTATCTCGCAATTCTGAGAAATAAAGTCAGAATTGTGATATAAACTCGCAATTGTGATAAAAAACAGAATTGTGAGATAAAAAGTCACAATTATTTATTTTATCTTTATATTCAGTGGCGGAAACAAGCTTCCATAGATCTGTACTGTCACTTTATAAAGAAAATGCGCTGTGTATCTGCGTTCGGATCTGTTTAAAGACTGCACTTATGATTTTTAGATGGAGGGAACTTATGTTCGCCTCTTGGAAGTCTATTACCAAATCCAAGGCGCCATCTGCCGGTTGCCTATCAAAACTGCATTCTATAATGTTTTTTTTTTTTTTTTTAATGCAAGTTGATGGTGTTATGTATCCCTTAATTGTTCACAATAAAATATGCAACACAATTATCATCATTCAACACCGTAACAATTTGTTAGCATAATGTTTTCCTCACTGTTTTTAACCCATATGAGCCAGACAGCAAATAAATGAGGAAATGCAGTCAGTGCTGAGCATAAAGCATTTTTATCAAAACATAACTGCTCAGTCTGTTCAGAGAGACACTGTATTGATAGTCCATGCCTAAAACATTCCCCTTTCTTTTCAGTTTCCCCTGCTCTATAGATCCATATTGACATATTAAACAAGTACTTTGCCAAACCACTGTAAATATCACACACATGCATGATGAAGTTAGTGTTATTAATATCACTTGTTCTGTTTCAGCCATGGCTCGGTCTGCGCTGATCCATTATAGAGAAGCCTTTAAAAGCGGCTCGTTCCTCTGTGAGCGTGAAGCAGAGTGATGAATCTTTTACAGGTTCAGCCTGTATTGCCATGGAACACTTCACTTCTCATTACATCACTGTAGCCTCTGCTTCCCCTCTTAAAAGCTTCCCTCCTTCCCAACACACACACACACACACACACACACACACACACACACACACACACACACACACACACACACACACACACACACAATGCTATTAATAGTGTTGAGATATTTTTGGATGAGAGAACAGACTGTTCTTTGAATAATATTTAGTTATTTAAATTACAAAGATTGTTTTACAATATTAGCAATTGTATGAGACATTTGTGCATTTTATATAATTTATGTTTATTTCATTTTTTTATTTGTTCACTTGTTTTGTTTGAAGAACATTGTTAATTTGTAAATATTTAATTATAGAAAATTGTTTAATATTAACTTTATTTATTTGTTTGTTTGTTATTTTTATTTAATTCCATTTTATTTGTTTATTTTCGTTTGTTAAAGAACATTATTGTTCTGTAAATATTTTCATTTAATTTACAAATATTATTTAATGATGTTACAGTAACAACGACGTGCAAAAGGAAGAGACCATTTTAAAATTGCTTTTGCTTTAGTTTTTTTAAAAGTTTTTTTTTTGAAGAATGTTAATTCATAAATATTTAATTCTGATGTATACACACACATTCTTTAATAATATTATTAATGATTTTCACAATTTAATGGGAGATTTTTGCACGTTATTTATTTATTATAAATATTTAATTTGAATTTATAAAGATTATTTAATATTAACAATGACTTGAAAGTAGACATTTGTGCACTTTATATAATTTGTATTTATTTCATTTTTTTATTTGTTCACTTTTTTTGTTTGAAGAACATTATTATTTTGTAAGTATTTAAATATAACATAGAAAATGATTTAATATTAGCAATGACTATAAAATTTGATGAGACATTTGCGCACTTTATTTATTTGTTTGTTTATTATTTTATTTTATTCCATTTTACTTGTTTATTTTTGTTTTGCTTTGTATTGTTTAAAGAACATTACTGTTCTGTAAATATTTACATTTAATGTACAAATATTATTTAATGATGTTAACAAAAGGATGAGAGCATTTTTAACTGGTTTTTGCTTTATTTTTTTGTAGTTTTTTTAAAGAACAATGTTATTTCATAAATATTTAATTCTAATACACACACACACATTCTTTAATAATATTATTAATGATTTTTACAATTTGATGAGGGATTTTTGCACTTTATTTATTTACTATAAATATTTTATTTGAATGTATGAAAATTATTTAATATTTACAATGACTTCACTGTAAAATCTTGTAATCACAACACAATTTCTTTTGTCAAATCAACTTAAATAATTTATTTAGTTCAGATAACATAATATTTTGAGTTTCTGATCATTAAATCAATCTCCTTCATTGCATTAACTCAATTTTTCCATTTCAATGAACTTAAAATTTTAAGGCAACCAGGTTACTTCATTTTTTTTAGTTAAACCAACAATATTTTTTTTTTACAGTGTTGAAAAATTAGACATTTGTGCACTTGGGATACTTAGTTGTGTTTTGTTTGTTATAATAATTGATTTATTTCAATTTTGTTTGATCTTTTCCATTTTTGTTTGTTTTCGTTTCGTACTGTAAAAAAAATGTTGGTTTAACTTAAAAAAATAAGTAACATGGTTGCCTTAAATTTGAAGTTCATTGAAATGGAAAAATTGAGTTAATACAATGAAGCAGATTAATTTAATCACCAGAATCTCAAAATATTATGTTATCTAAACCACATAAATTATCTAAGTTCATTTGAAAAAAGAAAAAATGTTGTGATAACAAATCATGAAAATATTTTTTATATAAAAAAAGATTTTCATTTGTTCAATTTGTTGTTTAATTCCGTCCAGATGTTCTGATTTGACTTGTTAGCTTGACTTCCATCATTGTCTCTGCATGCACAGCCTTTCGCTCGCTTGGTCAATGTGGGCAAAACCTGACCCACACAAACAACCAGCAACTGAAAGAAGGTCAAACTGGGTATACCTCAGAGTCTGATCTGATCTGAATCTGAATCATCACCTCTCTCCAGTTAAAGTGCGTTGATGTGTGCTCCTCTAAAAGGAGGGTCAGGGCTTTGTATTATGCACTTTTCAAACAGCAAGACCTAATGCAGACTGACAGGCCGGTTAGCAGACGAGTCCTGCGCTATACGCCAGACATGAATAAAGCCCACAGTGAGACTCCAACAAAGACAGAGGAGTATAAAACCCGCCCACACACACACACACACACACACAAGCACAAGAGCACTCAGAGAAAGTGAGCTCTCATTGATTATGTTGGCGAAGAAGACCCACAGCTGTGATACAGTAAGTGTTGCCTATATGGGCTATCTTTAAACACAGCCATGTCTATTTTAGTGGATGTTGCCCACATATGAAAAAAGGATTAAAAAAAAAAACAAACAGGAAAAATAGGCATCATGACAGCAAGCTGCTCCAGAAAACAAGCCCATTGCTCATCTTATCCAATACTTACTTTACTGAGTGTTCTGTAATTAGTTTGAAACATTTATGTCAAGTGTGACAGCTTTTATTTGATTAAAACTATTGAGTTCTTCAGTGCACATTACAAAAAAGACGTCGACAGTCTAATGGAGGCAGGACAATATAAGGCCTACTTTAATTGTATTAATCCCAGAGGGGCAATTTAGCGCAGGCAAACAGAAGCAGACACTGAGACAGACGTGAAGACCTAAAAAGCATTTGGTAAATTAAAAGAGTAGTACATCTTATATAACAAGCTGTGTAATGTACACTGAGGTAATATTCAATGCAATCTTGAATCTACACTTCAAAATCTTGCCGAAAGTAGGTCATCAAGTTACTTTTTGCCTGGTTTTATTGAGTATGAATGACTTCTTTTGTCACATATAGTTTTTAGGGAAGTTTGCAATTTTGGTTGCAGCCTAAACAATTTATTTGAGTGAGTCATTGAATGATTCGTTCAACCACTTTGTTCAAAACGTGTTGCAAATGTTCTGACGTGTCTTTTATTGAAACTGTTTTGACGAAGCAGCTGGTAATATTTTATCTAAAATTTAAGCTATTCTGCATTAACTTCTGCATTAAAAAGTCAAACAAATGGTTATATATATATGAGAAAAATATCATAGCCTACTGTGATTTTAGTTTGGAAATTAAAGTTATTGTTCGGCCATGGAATAAAAAAAAAAGATAATTGCGACTTTTTATCTCAGAATTCTGACTTTTTTTTCCTTCAGAAAAATTTGAATTGCTAAAAAAGAGTCAGAATTGTGAGATATAAAGTGACAATAGCCTTTTTTAATTTCTATTCCACACTGTAAAAATTAATATGCTTTATCTAATCAAAAAAATGTGGCAACAGATTACAAGCAATATTATTAATTAAATTTAACAAATTAGAACTGAGTAATAATGAATCTAATTAATTCCTTAAAAGTTAACCATTTAAAATAAGTACAATTTACACACACACAAAAAAAATGCTGAATAACAGATAAATGAAGAACTCTTTATTTTATATTGCCAATATCGAAGACACCTGATGTTAACAGGCAGAATCACTAAAGGAGAAAAAATCATTTAAGTCACCATTATTGTGATCAATGCTTGTTTTAATTGATCTCTTGACCCATAAGTCATTCACTTTAAGTTTGTTTGGCTGTTATACCCGAGTTATAACAGTCAGATGAACAAATAGATAAGGTTATCTGATGGTGTTGGTTGTGTTTTAACATTTTTATTCACAATCATTTGACTGGTTAACTTTTACTCATACTGCTTAACTTTTAAGGAATTAATTTGATTAATTATCACTCAATTCTAATTTTAATTGAATTAATAAGATTGCTTGTAATCTGTTGCCGCAATTTTATTGTTTAGATATAGCATATTCATTTTTACAGTGCATGGCAAAAACAAGCCTCCACAGAAACCAAAAACCACTGCAAGAGAAATGCCATTTCTGCAACTAGACGTTCAAAACCAAACCTTAAAGCTGTAAAACCTCCGCTCTCCCCATATGGCTGCAAGCATAGGAAATCTTTAATATAAATAGGCTACTTCAAATGATAAGGAAACCTGTTCAAATGGAGGAGGAATGTTTCTCTCTCGCGCTAAATCACTCAGAACTGAACTGTGCCGGTTAACTCTCCATTGGGCGGCCCAACACGACGAACAGCGTGATGATGTCTCCATTGGGTGGCGCTGATCGGGCTCGCGCAGATGGAGGGATGAGTCTCATCATCACATGGTCCATCCATATGCCCGGAGAAAGTGAGCGATCATCGCTGTCTCTGCGCTCTCGAAACTCAATCAGAGAGTAGGCGCAGTGGCGCCTCCAGAAATTTTTCGTAGGGGTGGCCAGATGGGGCCAGTTAAAATCTTGGGGTGGCACACCAAAACTACAGTATAAACCATAATTTCAGAATTGTTTTCTACTGTTGTAATAAACCAGCCTGTAGAAAACTATCAGAAAGACTTAAGGAAACTCCTACTGATATACTTTGGTTTATTGTGTAATATTTAATGTTACTAATGATATTAGTAGGGCCCAACTAATATATATTACATTGTATATAATGATATATATTATATGATATATAAGGGTCCTTGCCCCACAGCAAATTTCCAGATACTTACATAATTGTGATGAATTTAATCATTTTTAAGTTATTAGTTTGCATGTATTATTAGTTTAAATGTATTATGAATTTTTAATACACTTAATGAGTGTATACATCAGCAGCAAAAAGTAATTCTTGAAAAAATCTGCACAGTAATTTTATAAAATATGTTAATAAAAACAAATTACTATTAGTTCTCTTTTAAAATTCAATCAGGCAATCATGTCACAATTTTATATTTATATATTAATGTCAAGAATTCAGAAGTGCATAGCCTAAACTACAAATAAATTATATACAATTAAATTATGCTTATTTAAAATGTATTGAGCAGGCTAGGTATAACAAAATATATTGGCTTTTAATAATATTTCAGTGCGCAAACCCATGATTGAGCCCGTTCTTGCATGATTACATGAAAAACATCGCATTTAAAAGCTCATGTCACAAATCGAAAAAATGTTGAGCGCACAAATCCAAGTGCGATTTGTTCCTTTGTTTCACAGTTATTGTGCGTTTGATGCCGATTCATAATCCTTGTGATATACGTGTGATCTAACAGAACACGGTAGTGAGTCGCTTAAAAACAGCAACAAACTCCAAGAAAATAAAGTAATTTTATGCGAATATACAGACTTTTATCTACAGATCATGCATTTAAAATGACAATATATCATATTGGAGAGAGTTTTACGGTGCATCCAAGAGGCGCGCGTGCTGTTTGAATATGAATGGAGAATGATGACAGTCGCAGAGGAGGGAAAACGAGTTTATACTTTAATTATGTAAATATACTTCTGTCCCTCACATTAAGCTATGGAATGACTTCAGATGACTTTGTCACCCAAACTGACGTGAAAAAAGCGGGAGGCGCCGAAAAGCGCGCTGTTTGCATCCTGTCCAAACGTGGCAAAAACACACCTAAAAGCTGCTGTATACCATTTGGCACTGAAAAAGCACGTCACGACACATAATTCCCCGTCTTCTTTTACTTAAGAATATTTTTGACTTATTTATAAAATGCATAACTGATGCTACAAAAATTAATACTGGCCATTGGGGTGGCCAATGGGGTGGCCAGGAGTCGGCCAGGGGTGGCCATGGCCACCCCTGGCCACCCCCTGGTGGCGCCATTGAGTAGGCGGCAGTGCACAGCAGATGAACTGAGAGCCGAAGAGCAGCCATGATAGCGAGCCTGAGCCTGCAGCTGTGTGCGCTGGAGGAGAGCTGAGGAGTAGAAGTCTTTTCTCTTCTCTCTCTCTCTCTCTCTCTCTTCTCTTCTCTTCTCGCTGAGGATGGCAGGGATGCTGCGCGCCGCATCACTCTCTCCGGCTCTGTGAAACAAACGCACGGTAAGCGCGCTTCATCTTTCCCTCACGGACCCTGTCTTTACACGGCGAACTTTAAGGGGGTTTTGTCCGTCGTTTAGACGCGTTTTAAGTGTTTGTTGAGCAGAAGTTTACGAGACTCTTATTATGTTTGTCACTTTATATAACTAACGGTCTGTATAGCCTAGTTTGGGTTCAGTCATCATAGACATTTTACAGACTCGGTCAGTCTAAAACGCGATTAAGGCTGATCTGAGGTCTGCTTCTGGAGACACGAGAGCATTGAGTGGAATTTCTGAGCTCATATCGATGTTCTTATTGATTCTGAATTTTCTTGAGAGGGGTGGTGAAGGGGAAGAGACTGAGAGTAAATGAATACGGTAAAGATGGTTTAAAGTGTGTCCTCTTGAATGAGTGTTCAGGGCGAAATTCTGCTCTTCTTTTGCTAATAAAAACTACCAAAAAGTACCATGGTAAAACCTATTTTGTGTGGGTATGATGTCATGGTGGGACTAAATGGACTACCGTCATTTATTGGATATGCCCCATTGATTTTTTGGGTGTACCATTTGTTTTCTGCGAATGTGTACCATGGTTATTCCATGTTTTTTGGACATTTTGGGGGAATTTCCACTGTTTTATGTGTATTTACAATGGTAATGTTTACCATCCCTATTAAAAAGTACTGTGATGGCATGGTACAGCGATGATAATAGTGCTTTGAAATATTTATATGAACTAATAATATTTGATATGGTACTCCATTGTAATTAGAATACAAAACATATCAATGGTAGTACCATATATTCAAAAACCTTGTTGGTACCATTATGGTTTTTTTTTAGGTATAATGTATTTTTGGACAATTATGATACTGAATATGGTCATCTTCTAGTAGAATGGTATATATATATATATATATATATATATATATGTGTGTGTGTTGTGGTTTATGTAGTTAGTATGATTACAGTGTTAATGAAGTTGCTCTTTTCCTAATGTCTTCATTCTGAGAGTGGAATCAAGGGTGCGTGATTCTTAAGTGTTCAGTTATTCCAGACCCAGCGGGACAGACTTTATTTAAGCAAGAAAGTGACTTAACACCAAGAGCTTATGCCCCCCCACCGCACCCCCCTCCCAGCGCACGCTGACCGAGAAACTGCAAGAGTCTGTCCAATACAGTGAATATGGATGAATGAAATCCTCTTACACTGCAGCTCAAACTCACAGTGTGTGAGTGTGTGAGAGAGATATGCTCTCTACTGAGGGTTTACTGACTGATGAACTGTCTTTTGCACCTTAAAGTGAAAATGAAAGCAGCAACATTTCGAGACATCAGCAGAAAAAACATATTTGTGTCTGATAAAGAAGTTCTAATGTTGTTATTGGTTGAAAAAAAAAATTTGTTGAAAGCGCTAGGACAGAAATCAACCGTTCACATTCACAGTTTGGACAGTCCTTCAATCGAAAATGTTGTTATCATGTTCATGTACCCACCCTCATGTCACTCAAAACACGAATTTATTATCAAAATGTCAAACCTGATGGCTTTCAAGTTCACCTGCAATTTTGCATAATTAAAGAAATAATAATTTCTCATGCAATCTTAAGTAATATAATTAAATTAGGGCTGTCAAACGATTAATCGCGATTAATCGCATCCAAAATAAAAGTTTGTGTTTACATAATATATGTGGGTGCACTGTGTATAATTATTTTATATATATATATATATATATATATATATATATATATATAAATTCACACACATGCATGTATATTTAGGAAAAATATTATTTATATATAAAATATTTATATTTATATATAATATAAATTATATAAACCTATATACAGTATATACATGAAAATATTTCTTAAATATATACAAGCATGCGTGTGTATTATATACTGTATATATATATATATATATATATATAATTATACACAGTGCAACCACATATATTATGTAAACACAAACTTTTATTTTGGATGCGATTAATCGCGATTAATCGTTTGACAGCGCTAAATTAAATGAATATATTTAACATGATTCAAGATTATTATATTACTATTAGTATTAATATTTCACAATATTTTTTTTATTGCAGTTGAACAGTTTATTGATTAATATGAATTAATATGACTGATTATTTATTTATCATGATTAACTCGGTCAGGATTTTAACCCATACCTTGCTCTCCGATCAAAAACTAGACAAACATGTAAAAAAAAATCTACCTGTACATTATAAACACTTTTTTGTCCCCTTTGTTTATGTTTTTGCCGTGCATATGAACCAGCACTGCCACTCGCACATCCTACAAAAAAAAAATATATATATATATAAATTTGAAAAAGGTTAGTGAAAACCCCTGTACAAATCCAGACCCCTCTTTTGCACAATTAAGCCCACATGTAAAATAAACCGCAAACACCATGAAGAGATTCAAAATGGCCCTTTAAGGCCCACCAGCAGCTTTCTACAGTTCAGTTGCTTGACTCTTTATATATTAAACATGCCACATCCTTACAGACAGGCTTCAGTGTATGGCTGCATTTTTAACCACATGACCAACCACATCTGTGTTGTGTGACGTGACTGGCCGCACATGCAAAACCTGCTCTCTCTGGGTTAAACTGAAGGTGCACGAATGGGTCAGTTGGTACTCGCGTTCTGTGTAGGCGCTGTGGGTTTAATATGCACGACAACGCTGTGCACTCTTGCCACTGCTGATGTCAAAGTAGATTCAGGATCAAGTAACACTCGTAAGCTTCTGTATCTTAAGACAGATATGAGCTAAAGTGAGTGAGAGAGAGAGAGAGAGAGAGAGAGAGAGAGAGAGAGAGAGAGAGAGAGAGAGAGAGAGAGAGAGAGAGAGAGAGACAGGGAGGGTAAAATGAACAGTCCCTATGGATTGGAGTGGAAATGTGTGACGGTGGGTGGAGGGCACCAGACGCACTGAAAATCCCTTAATAATTAACACTACGCATTTCAAGAGGAGCGGCACAAAGCGAATGGAAACCCGCTGTGTATGTGACAGTTACGCAGGGTGGTCAACATGTTATCTGGAATGGATGAACTGTACTGAGAAGGGTTGGGGGATCTCCTAAAATGAATGAAACATGAAGCTCTTTTTTAAGGTTCTTCAGTGTATCACCTTAAAGGAATAGTTCACCAAAAAATTAAAACCTCATGTTGTTCCAAACCTGTATGACAACATCAAAGTTCACTGTTTGGTTATGAACATTCTTCAACAACTCTTATTTTTGATCCACAGAACAGGTTTTTTGGGTGAACTATTCCTTAAACTAACCCTTATCTAAGACTTAACCCTTAACTGTTGAGCTACGAAGGACATTCAACATCTGAAGGCTTCTTGTAGCGTAAAAATATTGAGAACCGAAAACAGTACTTTTAAAGAATATGTCAATGTGAATGAGTCTGAAACAACACTGAGACAATTTTAAATATCTTTTTTATAGAGGTTTGACATTACTTGAGGGGCAGCCACTGTTATTTAAGTACCATTGAGATACTTTTATAGTTTATATACAGTATGTATATATATATATATATATATATATATATATATATATATAATTAGTTTTTTACTCTTGTACTTTCCATTTTAATTTTAAATTTAGATAACATTTTTGTCATTTTGTTGTTTTTTGTCATTTTTATTTTGTTATAGTTTTTTTTAAATATGTCTGTAGTTTTTATGAATTATTAATTAATTTTTATTCAAGATATTTTAGTACATCATGTCAAATGAAATGAAAATGTGAAATGTTATATATTTGGCAACTATATATAGTAAAATAAATAAATATTAGCTGGAAAAAAAGACATAAAAAAGCTATAGCTGATTTTTTAAATGTTTTTTTTTTCAGCTAATATTTATTTATTTTACAAAACACTGTAATAAAAAAATCATGATTTATAATCACAACATTTTTTTCTTTTGTCAGATGAACTTAAATAATTTACGTGGTTCAGATAACATAATATTTTGAGTTTTTGATGATTAAAGCAATCTCCTTTATTGTCTCTAACTCAATTTTTCCATTTCAATGAACTTAAAATTTTAAGGCAACCAGATTACTTCATTTTTGTAAGTTAAACCAACAATATTTTTTTACAGTGTAGGCCTAGTAACTTTTTTTGATAAGCCTGGGGTGAATAAATGATGTCATATTTTTTAAACACTCTAAAAATAATTCTAAAAACAAATAAATGCATGGTTGCAATTTATTTATTTAATTAAACCTTTTAAGTTACAAACATTTTGTTGAGCGCTGTTGACATATGTTGATGATTACATTAACGTAATATTGTGTGTATGTAATTTAAACTCAAATTTCTGCGTTAATTGAATTCTTTAAAAATTAAGTTGCAGTGACTTAATAAAATTGTCTTGATACTTTTAGAAACTGGGCAGATAGGATTGGATCAGGAGAATAAATGTTGAAATTAAGTGTTATGTGTTTATGTGCTTTTCAGTGAAGGGAAAAACCTGCTAGTGTTTATTCCTGTTATGTTTGACATAAGCGTTTCTGTCTAAGGCGGTTATGCTATTAATAATTTAGAACCACATTAAAGCCCGTTTATGCTGAAATAGTTCTTTGTGTTTGGGTTTATGCTCAACATTAAATCAAATTTGACCATATTTACCTTCATGCTCGCTTCTGGTGTTATTGGGAATAACTCATTATGCTATCGCTTGTCTTCATGAATGTAGACCTGGAAGTAAATGTGTTGAATGATGACACTTACTCTTGTTTTCATAAAACCGAAAAGGCAGGTTTCTAATCAGCACCCAAAAAAGGCTTCCACAAGCCAAATAACCCTTATTTGCTGCCATTAAGAATCCATTTTTCATAAGAGTCCATTGGTTTCTGGGTTTTTAGAGCACCAGTACACAGATGTTTTCTTTCTGAAACTTTCTGAAAACTTCTCCTGTGGTGTCAGGCTGCAAAACCCTTTCTGAACCTTTACTTTTAAGAGAGCAACCGTGTTATT